ATTGGAAATTTTCTATAGTGTCTTTCATTTGCTTGTCAATTAAATTTTATTAGAAAGTAGTAATAGTTATAAATCCAACTTTCCTTCAATTAATTTTTATGTTTGATTTCTAACATTTAATTCATCTACGATTTCCATTAAAAGCTTCGCCAGAAGAATCAATTATGCGGTTAATTTGTTCAGAATTTTGATTTTTATCAATGGAAAATTATTTTTGAGCTCTGTCTATTTAGCACATCGAACAAACATAAATTGATTAGGTTTAATTTACAGTTGATATTTAATGACGTGAATTTCATCCAAGTCGATGTATGCGCGACTTCATGTGTCGTATTTTACGCGAGTACACTGATTATTAGAATCAATTAACGATCGGAAAAAAAACACAAGGACAAGATGATGAGATGATCAAGATCAAGATCGAGAAGGAGGAAAAGGATAACAATAATAAAAAAATTACAAGATAAGAGAAGTTATTATTCAGAAGCCATTGATCAAAAAAGTAGAAACAATGGATCTCCAACAAACATCTAAAATAATTATAACCGTCAAATACACTATTTCACAAAAAATGTCGCCACCCAATCAACAAATTCAGGATGAACAGCAACAAAATTGTTATTGTTATTATGATGATCAGTTTCAACATTCTGCCCAGCAACTTCAGCAACAACTCCAACAAGGACAACTTTGGAGTCACGTGCAACAACAGCAACAGGCTCAAAATTCCGGTCAACAACACATTTATATGCAACGAATTAATAATCCAACCCAGCAATTTCTTCAACAACAAACTCAAAATCTTGATCAAGAAATTATTGCATTTGATGATTCATTATCAATTACTGCAACAAATTCACCATTTCAAAAAATGACTAATATCAACAACAATAACATACTGGCAGCGCAATATTTGCCACCACAACCACCACAGCAACACTGCCAATTAGTTTATGCTAAAAACAACTCGCATACTTCACATTCAATTAATAACAACATCAATGGTTTAAATAATCCCGATGTAAATTTAAATGTTCCTTCATTAAATTGTGGAAACAAGAATGAAGATCTTTTTTCAGCCTATTCTTATCATGCAATGAAGATTAGTCAGCATCATTTTGAATTGGAACAAATTATCAATACGTTATGGCATAGAGTTAATTATTACTAACCTCATTTTTTTATTTTTTT